AGAGTAAATATTTTAGACCTTGAGTGACATCTGATCTCTGTAATTGAGACTCTGCCCCTGTCAGGTGCAAGCAGCCCTAGACAATAACAAAGACAAATGGGTGTGGCCGTGCTCTAATAAAACTTAACTTTGAAAACAGGTGGTAGGTCAGATTTGGCTGTGGTTTGCTAACCCTTATATAGGGTAATGCCAAAACTGATAAGGCAAACCTAGTCAAGGAGGAATATTTTCTCAGTTTTTCAGGTGAAGCTGTGTTCTCTACAGTTTTAATTTCATGTATATAAAGCTGTAACTGGAGAAATTGGTAGAAATTTCCAGAGGGACTCATGGGATCCTCAGGCCTTTTGCTGACCTGAAGACCTTTATCTGACACTGGTTAAAGATGCTGATCTCCTTACTGAACACCCTGTCTATAATAAATTCTTTGTTACCCTTTAGAAAAGCTAACCTTGTTTGATTTCCCACAGGTTGCATCTATTGTTGACCCTCTGTCATCTGTATCTTCAACAGACATTTGTACATTAATACTTGCAATGGATAGAGACTGTTTAGTCAGCATCTCAATATCTCTTTCACCAGAGGGTGCCAATCACTTATGATGCTTCAGAGCCTACTCTGTAGGTATAATCTGTTTCCAAGTGGCATAGCTTGGTGGACAACATGGTATTAAAGGGCATCAAAAAAGAGAGCAATTTCAATAAATCACTGAAGAAGTATTCTGCTATTAATATCAGACATGCAATTCCTTCTCACAAGTGAAGTCTGAACAGCACCGAGTAGGGCCTTCCAGTCCAGGATTATTCAATATTAATTTCCAAACTACCTACTCTCAGATCTCAAGACAAAGAGCTTTCCCATTATTTTTATGTTAGCAATGCACGGAACTGCTATACTTTAGCTGGAATATTGTAATTTGACTTCCACTCTCCAGGGTCTACTTCACAAATCAAGTAATATGATATGTGGTATAAATCCATGCAGATAAAATAATCTGGGGTCATGTTGCATTGAGACAGTATCCAAAGTAAGCCATGAGTTTGATACCAGGAAATAGAGAGTGAAGAAACTCATAGTTGAGAGTAGGCAAAGTGATTAAGAGTGAAGACAACAACATATGTCAAATCAGGAAAAGAATCAAATCCTAACTAGCAGTATGGTTACTGAAATCAATGGTTAAGTGAGTCTATGGTCTTTCAGGATAAAAAGCATCTATGATTTTTCCAGAAAATAAGAATTATGTATGATTTTCTCTTTTAAACAATATCTTGTCATTCCACATTAGTGGGCAGAGAATGAAGAATCACAAAATGGGGGGGGGGCAGTTAAGATAAAATAATAGTCCTCTAGTCTTGTTCTTCCTAGACCTCCAGATATGATAATTAAAATTTCCAAAACCATTAAGAGGCTGTTAACTTGATTGAAAGAAAAGATTCTTATTTTACCCAGGAATGATGAAAACTGGCATTTTATTAATCAATGTTGGGAAACCATTAACCTAAATCTGAATACTATTTTGATATTTTAATCACTCTGGTAAACTCCCTGCTGCATCATTTGCTGGCCTATGCTTGAATTTCTCCAATTATGAAAAATTTTCTAACACCTGATATATCTCACTTGTTTTTAGATTCTAAGGAGCATTTCTACTTTGCACTGAAATCGATCTGCTTATAACCACACTGTTAGTCCTTATCTTAATTTGTTGGGCTTTCCATTACAAAATACCAAAGCTAAAATACTGGTTGGCTTGAATAACAGAAATTTATTTTCTCACAGCTTTAGAAGCTAATAAGTCCAAGATCAAATCGCTAGTCAATTGAGTTCTTGGTGAGGGCTCTCTTCTTGACCTGCAGAGGGTGACCTTATTACTATGTCCTCAAATAGAAGAAAGAGCTCTGAGCTCTTCTTATAAGGGCGCCAGCCTATTGGATTAGGGTTCTATCCTTATGACTTCTTTTAGACTTTATCCTCCCAAAAGGCTCTATCTCCAAATACAGTCACATTGAGGGTTAAAGCTTCAATACATGAATTTTAGGAGGGGATACAGTCAGTCCGTAACAGTCCTCATTCTGTCTCATAGTACCACATACACGAAGTTTCATCTCTTTTCCATACACCAACTCTACCAATATCCGAAAACATTTCTTTGTGTAGCTCCACTAACTTTTCTCAAAAGATTTCAAGTCTTATTAATATTTTGAACCATTCTCTGAATATGGGCCAAAAGATCATTATCACTCTGGGGTAATAACCAGAACGTTAATAACATAAGCACATTTACTTAGTGTCAGCAAGAATTTTTATTCTCGTTATTCTAATTCCTACTTATATATCTCTCACAATGTAAGAATAGATTTTCCCAGTTACACCATAGTTACATCTAATTATTGACTTTACTGTGTTTTCATTCAACTAGGATAACAGCTTTTTTTCAAATATATGTATGATCTCTAAACATATTCTTCTATATCTTTATTCCTGTATTAGTTTCTTTGACTCAATTTTAAGACCTTGTATTGATGATGATGACATCAATAAGGATGATGATAATAATAATGATAATGATCTTAACGCTGACGAAGGAAAGGAAATGAGTGTCACCTGAGTGTTTGTTAGGTGCCAAAGACTGTGAAGAAAACCTTATATGCTTTAGAATATTTAATCCTTAGAATTTTATGACTGTAGGCATTATTATTCCAAAACAGTAAATGAAGAAATAAACCTTTACAAGAAAAAATCTTCAATTTGTCTTTCATAATTACCTGGTTCCATAATTCTGACCAATCCATAAAAATTCTAACCATGTATATATTTATACATGCTGACCATGTTGGGATGTTGGAAAGAGCAAACTACACCCCTGACCAAGGGATGAAAGCATGAGCCATTACTTAAGATATTCTATACTACCTGAAAAGTTAGCTAGCACTTCTTCCTGCATGGTGCCATGTTGTCTCAACCTATCTCTTGGGTCAGAATTTCTTGGTGCACAGTAAGTTGGAACTATTCCTGACCTGGCTGTAACTGTAGTATTTTCTTTAGTTGTAAATACATGTTTTTGTCAGGTTAGAATTTTTGGAAAATTAAACTATAAGATAGTATTACGGCTTTCAGGCAGATTAAGGATGAAACTTTTGATGGAAAAGTATTTTCTCTTTTTTTTACTTGTTTTACTACAAAATACACACAACATAGTTATAAAGGCACCACTCTACTTCTATATATAATAGGCCTGCAGAATGCCAAATGGAAAATGAATACTCCTATTACTATATGAAATGTACTAGAGCTAGGTTACTGAATGCCAAAGAAAGTAACTATTTCTTAAAGGAGTGAAGATTTTAAGGACTTCATTTTCAATGTATATGTTATCCCATTCCTATGCCCTGTGGGCTCTCAGATGTACAACAAACAAAAGAAGGAGGCTTAGCTGATGTAGCCCTGTGCAGCCAAGGGACTCAGAAATGTTTTATCTTGAAAACCTAGGAGTAACTCAGAAAGGGAAAATCAATCTCAGGCAAAAACAAATATTCTGTGTTTTGGACACAATACATCCAAAAAGTGATCCTTTCTGGAAAATTTACTAAAGAATATAGAACTACAATATATTCCTACTATCATGATACTGCATTAAGAGCTATAAAAGTATATATTTTTAAAGAAAACCAATTTTATGATTTACTCAGAAAACATGTTCTTTGTACCTACTATGAGCTAGGTCCTGTCTAAGACCCTGAAGATAAAAATACAAATAAAATGTAAGAAGTACTTTCTAAGACTTAACATATAGGGGAAGGCACAGCCAGATACAGAACTGACTACTAAAGAGAATGTGAGCCTGGTGGTGGGTATTAAGGAGGGCACGGATTGCACGAAGCACTGGGTGTTATATGCAAACAATGAATCATGGAACGCTATACTAAAAACTAGTGATATACTGTATGGTGAGTAACATAACACAATTAAAAAAAAAAAAGCAAAAGCTAATAAATAAATAAATAAATAAATAAATAAATAAAATATGTAGACATTGCCACAGTAACATAAATAAGGGAAAGATGGATTCTCTTATGGGCTCAAAAGTATTCACAAAATAGCTAAATTTGAATACATTATATATAATATAATCTACATTGTATATATATCATTTTAACAGAGTATTAAAACATTTTAGTCCATATTCTGTATCTTTTTCACAATTTCAATTAAACTTACTAAGTAGTCTCAAAACATCTTCCCACAAATATAACATAAGTAAAACTTCTCTTGGGTTTGAGGGAAATGTAATCAGAGAAGTACTACTTCAATAATTACAATTTTTTCCTCTTCAAAGCTGCTTATATCTTTAATTGTTTTGAATACCAGAGCTTTTTATTTATCCCTCCCCTTCTTTATTCAATGGCAACTATAATTTTAAATATAAGATGGACTCATACATGGAAATAGCATTTACAAACAGCCAGTTATGTCCCCCCAAGTGTTGTCTTAGAAATGGCTTTGCTTTCTTAGACCTGGAATAAGTTGAGTATTATCTAGCTATCAGTTTTAAGTTATTCACTAGGATTTTTTCAGGATCATTTGTTTTATTACCTGTATTTGGGACTGTTTGAACACTCAAATTAGAGCGATGATATCAAATAGATGGAGGAAGCCATCAACAATTTGTCAGAGTTAGTCTTGCCTTTTATTGCCTGGTAATTTTATATAAAATCTTCAACTTCAACATTTGCAACATCAACTGCTGGTCTTCAGATGATAAGCATGAATAATAACAGGGGAGATATAAAAATGCAGTTTGCATTACCATCAAGATCTATACTGAAAATCACTAAATATAAATAAAGGAATAGAGCCCTATTCAGATTCCAAATAAATTAGAGTAGAAATTCATGAAATAATGTATAGGCCATAAGACTATATCTTCCATAGTCATAATAGTTATTTGAATAGTAAAAGACAGTCAAAATAGTTTTTCCTATTCATGTGGAAGACTTCTTTACTCTGGGAGGGAGAGGTTGCTAATTAATTATCTGACCATAACTGGTACCCTGACAAGAGCATTTCAAAGCAATGTATTTATAAATTGTATCAAAATTTCACAATAAACATAAAAGGTATTTCCTTGAAATGTTATTTCAGAATATAAAATCAAATTCCTGGCTCTTAGCATCTTATGTTAAAAGATTATAGAAAATATGGTGATTATTAGAATAGACCAAGAATGAACCAGACATTGACTATTCTGAGCTTTTGTTGTTTGGAGAGAGGAAGGAGTGGGAGGGCATAACTCCCCTAATAAAATTATATAATAATATGAAATAACATCTTTTACTTTCATTTTCACTTTAACAGCAGTGTCATAAATAGGGTTATCATTGTGAAACTATTCTGAGACTTCATCAGTTTTCCCAGGGGCCTCATTTAATTTGTCAAAATTCAAACCATTCCCTTTTAAAATGGAGATTATAATAGTTTCTACTTCTTGGGGTTGTGATGAGGGAACTATTTTCTGTAAGGTTCTTAGCAGATTAGTTCAGAGCAAGTGTTCAATACATGTTGGCTATTACTTCGTGAGAAGCTACACAAAATCATTATCATTCTATCAAATGGTAGGTAGGAACAGAAGCACAGTTTATTAATAATGTCTTGGACTAAGTACATTTAAAAATTAAACTTAGCATCCTTTCTTGTTTTATTTAAATTTTATTCTATCACAGCTACATATCCCAAAAAAGTGCAAATAACTCCACAATACCATTAAAACATTAAAAGTAAGGTATGTCATCACTAAAAATTTCTAAAACGCCAAAGGTAGGCAGGATGAGGGTAGTTGTATAGTGAGATTTCCTAAAAAGTATTTTTAAACATCCTTCCCTCTTCATAAAGCCCACATTAAAGCAGCTAGTCCCAAGCTCCTCTCATTCTTTACCCAACCTCACTCTTCACTTTTCTGACTCATACTATGTACTGCTTATCCTCTTTCTTCAGCATTCCAAATTTTTTTCCTTTTATAATAATTCTCCCTCTTCTTTCTTACCCACTTAAATTTAGCCTCCAGCCTTTTTCCTGTTTTCTTCACTATTTATATCTTCCCAACAAAGATCTAGGAATAAACAAATCAATCAGGAATCCTCCATAAACACCAAGAATTTTCTTAGTCACAGCTGACATTGGTTTTGCTCTTGGCTGTCCTTAGTAGTTGTCTGAATTTGGTTCAGTCATTTTATTCTGTTTTTTTTTTTTTTGTTTTTTTTTTTTTTCCCCACATACAGGAGTATTTAAATTCTGATTGCTAAGCTACCTTTCAATTAAAATTTTGAATGAGTTTCTAATTATTATAAACTCCAAATTTAAGAACACTATAAATAAGTGCACATGGAAAATAAAAATAAATTATTTGATCACTTTTGCAAAGATGATTCTTGTTAATCATAGAAGGATATAAACATGATGCTCTACACAAGTGTTCTCTTCCCTGCCAATGGCAAATCAATTTTACCTGAAGTAACATGCTTTCAAGTTTCTTTACCTTCAAAATGTATCTGATTTTGAAAAATCATTCTAATTAATCCAAATTATGTGGCTTCTGGAATTTTTATTAAGGCACACATAATTTTAAAGAAAGGACAATTGATAAAAGATGACTATTTTAAATGGTATTTTTATCATTCTCATTGTTTTTTGTTCTTTTTACCATTTAAGGATCATTCAGGTGTTTGTATTTAAGTTATTTAAATGTCCAGACATAAAGTCAACCATTCAGAAAAACCTCAAGTAAAAAGAAATGATAGAGAAATCAGGAAGCCATGATAAGAATCAAGGAAACAAAAATAAATTAAAACAAAAAGTAAAGACACAAAAGAAAAAGTTCTTTTCAGTTGGTAACAGCTTTAGTAATCTAAGGAATGCTAGCAAGGACACAGGAAGAATGACTGGTGGCAAGAAAATGAAAGAAAAAAAGCAGGAATGTAGGTGGGAAAAGGCACAAAAAGAGAAGGGAAGTGAAATGTTAGACAACAGAAATAATTAGAAATGGTAACATGTGGGCAACACACCTTTCGGAGTGTGAAGTAATGACAACAGAAAATGGAGAGAGCCTTTGGGGAGAACAGAGAAGTATCATCTAGAATATCACTATAGGACACACTATACCCCAGGCCCTCCACTGTGTTCAGGCATGCCACAAAAGTCCAGGCAGCTCAAGTCATTGTGAAGGGGGATCAGATACTGAAGAATGCGGTTTGCGGGTACTCATAGGAAAGTCACAACCTGAAGCTTTTGATATCCCATACTTGGTATATGCCACACAAACAACAGAACAATTAGTGTATAATCTACATAAGCACTACTAGAATACACTTCAAAGAATTTTATTGTCTGTAGTGCAATCTGAAAATATGTAAGTATAAATTACATAATGTATGGATGGGTATGAATTACTTCTAATAAACACCTTAGGGGTCTTTGGTTAATATGTTTAAGTATTTGTGGTAGATCACATTCCTAAGTCTGCAGTCTTATCTCTATTATACACTTTCTTTTTTTAACATGAACTTGCCATTTCTCTACCAAGAAATGGAATCTATTTCTCCTCAACTTTTGATATCAGCTGACCTGGCACTGTGAAAGCAACAGAAGTGATATTTTAGAGGCCTAGAAATTAAGAAGGCCTAGCAGCTTCTGTTTTTGTGCTCTGAAGAAAGTCAGTCACCACACAGAGTAGTCAGTAACCTGAGATGGCCACATGGTACGTGAAAAAAAACCCATACCAGCCATATGGAGAGGCAACAGGCAGAGAGAAAGAGAGAAAAAAACAAAACAAAACAAAACAAAAGACCGAGAGTTAAAAATAGTGAATTACAGAGGCATGGTCAGCATTCTATTTTTCTAATTATCTGGACTGGGACATAAGACACATGAATGAAAGAGTCATTTTGGACATTCTAGCCCCAGAAGTTTCCAAGTGGAACAAAAAGTAAGCTCTCCTCAATGGACCCTTCAATACTGCAAACTTGTGAGCAAATAAATGATATCTGGTGTTTTCAGAACTCAATTTTTTGGAATAATTTATTATGAAGCAATAGGTAAATGAAACATCTTAATCAGTAATCCGTACTTGAAAGTTGGTTACTTAACACTTCAGATGTCCTTGTCAAAATACAAAAAATATATTTTGTTAATTAATATTTCTTTATTAAAGAAATGAGTACTACAATCATTTAGGAAGATTTCATAACTAAGAACAGAGCCAACAGAGAATGACTTTAGGTATGCAGCCTTATTTGTCATTTCTTTTCCACTTTACAGAAGAAGCATGTTTTCTTCACCTTATTGTACCATGAAGCTGTTTGCTGTTGCTGCCACTAAAATGTGATGTATTAGCTTTAAAATTAATCTTTTATTCAAAACATGACTTAAGGGGCCAAGGACATATGAGATTTACCCAGGCTAAAAGATACGGTGGTAGAATTTTTTTATGCTTCATGGCAGATTTAACAGAATTTAATCTAGGCTTGTTTATTTTGTAACATAACCCTGCTGGTGAGGTTGTGGGGAAAGGGACATGAAGATACTACCCACCTCTAATTAGTAAATTCTCTAGATACTTACAAAAAACACTCACAATGGCCTAAGAGCCAAATTGGCTCTAGTCAGTTTAGGAAAACAGGAAATTCTGGCCAATGCAGTAAGTATAGGAAGGGGCAAAGGAGAAGACTAATTATTATAGATATCTTTCTCTACTTTGTATTAATAGATTTCTTGAAAAGACAAAGAGACAAAAAAGATATATTTAAAAGCTTATTTAAAAGATATATTTAATAAGATATATTTAATAAGCTATATTTAAAAGTTTAAAAAATGATATGTTTTATACAAGCCTCCACAATATATGATCTCAAATATCAGAAATTGTAACTGGTCAAAGCATTTTCAGCATGAAACTATACCCCTGTCAACAACTGTATATTCTTTCATATTTATTAGCAACCCTCATGCAAATTTAATTCTATTCTACTGAAATTAATACAATCCAAAAATAAAATTAAATTCAGCATTTTTTACTCAGTAAATATGTGTGAATCCTTGTGGATCCAGATATAGGCAGTGAAGATTAAAAAGCAAATAAACAAGAGAAGTATGTGACATACTTTCAAAAAGAATGTACTATAGAGGGAGAAGACAAAGTCACGACTACAGTAAAAACAAGATGAGAAATGCTAGAATAGACATAAATACAAGTTGCTATGGAATTCTATTAAGGGAGATTAACTCTGACTTCACTGTCAGGGAAAGCTGCCTTGAGGAACTAGAATACAGGACAACAGGAGCTCACTGGGTCCAGACAACTAACGGGGATCTTCCAGGAGAGTTAGGGGCATATGACAAAGGCACAGGGCAAACGGGTTCTTGATGCAACTACATGGAACCACAATGTGGATGAATATGATGCCTCTGGCAAATGGAGGTCTCAGATAAAGTCTGTGTTTACAAACCAGTAAGAAAGGCGGCTGAAGAATTTGAAACAAGTCAATGGTACAATATCTTAGAAACACTCCTCTGTCAGCCCTGTGGAGATATACTAAGAATGCCAATCATTTCTAGAAAGATATGTGGGGAATTTGAACCACTTTGTTTTCTCAAAGGTGGTTTTAGAATCCTGTACTCTCTTTGCGTAATCTCATTCCCTCTCGTTGCTTCAGTTACAGCACAAAACCAGTCAGATCTTACTTTGGAGCTTCATCCATTGTCTCGTGGAAATCTCGACGTGATACTCCTTGAGGCATTTCAGATTCATAGGTACAAAAGTGAATTTATCATCTTTCCTTTCGACTTGCTTGCCTTCCAATATTTTCTACCTCAGGGTTGGTTTTTCTCAGCTACCTAATCAGCCCAGAATAGAAACTTGACTGTTGTCCATGACTTTACACACTATTTCAACTTAAATTCAATTGTTATATGTCTTATTGGTTTTTATCCAAATATTTATAAAATTTTTCCTCTCCTCTAACTCTCATTT